CTGTTATATTTCGTTATATAGAAGCAATTTAATGGCTATATATTTGTGTTTGCTGGGCAGCCAAGCATCGTAAATCTAATGTGTCAACAAACAAATAGGTTAAGTTATAATGACTACAAAAAATTCACGTTCTTATTTTATTAAAAGAATATATAATTCCACTGCAATCCATTCGCCACTCACGTCTCCTTCTCAATTTGAATGACTCGCCGAATAAAATGACCAACAAACGAATAATTCCCCTCTAACATACAAAAAATTCGCTCGAAACAGTGTAAATGGTTGTATAAATGGCGTATGCCGGTCACAGAAAGATTGCAACACTTTTTTTCGATGGGTTTCGGAATGCAGCTTGTTCACCGAGCGATTGATTCTTATTCATGAATCCACAAATAAGAACCAATCGTTTGGAAACCCATCGAAAAAAAGTATTGCAACCTTTCTGTAACCGGCTGTACACTAAAGTTACTAGATCTATAAAGGCTGTATTCCAAAATTCACTGCCAGCGCTGAAAATCTACAGTTTACGTTATGTATACTATACATTTTCAGCACTGGCCGTGAATTGTGGAACATAGCTAAAGTACTGCAAAGTACTCGCACCTATTTTGACGCATAACGCAGCCATTTTTAATTAATGGATTTATATATATGTATCAGAGAGAAACCTGAGAGAAGACATAACGGCTTAAAACCTATAACTGCAAAATGTTGCCACGCACTACCGCCCTCTGAAGAAGTAGATGTAAACTACCCAACAATATCCATCTTTCTGCAGTGCTTCTGATGGAAATAAATCGCTGAAATCATTGAAATGTTTATTAATTTAATAGATTTTAGTTATTTTAGCAATTTCAACTATCTGTTTCCATCAGGAGCACTGCAAAAAGGTGGACATTGTCATATAGTTAACATTCAATTCTTCAGAGGGCGATAGTGCGCGGCAGAATGTGGCTATGTTGTGGCTGCTATATCTAATTTGGCACTGAACGTATCTGGGCGCCGGCGATGGTTAACTGATGGCGAAGAAAAATTGGCGGGAAATCACTAAGTTTACTCATTGTTTCTGATTCACAAGCCATAAGGCGGTTTAATATAAACTCAATAGAGTAAAGACGGGATTGCGTGCATATGACGACTCGGATATCAGTATCGCATTACTAGGTTAGAATACAAGAAACTCAAAAATCTACAATATAAGCGTTGATCTGACAACGCAAGCAACTACCTAACGACATGAGTAGTAACCGATCTCGTAATAAACATGGAGTGATTATAAATCTTACCGACCGCTAACTAAAATCTATCGTTGAGGCTTACAAAAGATCCGCACGCAGAACGCCATGATACCAGAGAGAGAGAGAGAGAGAGAGAGAGAGAGAGAGAGAGAAGAAAAAAACTGACTTGAGCGCCGCAACTAACACTTGCAACGCCACAAGCATCTACTTCTTCAGAGAGCGGTAGTGTGCGGCAGCATTTTGCAGTTACAGGTTTTAGCCCATCATATCCTCTCTCAGGTTTCTCTCAGTTCGTACTTTATTTGTGAAAATAAGTCCGTTAAGTATGTAGATCAATGTTTTTGAATTGTAATTAATTAATTTATGACCAAAAGAATATGTACAAATGTTTAATTTATGTGTTTTTTAGTTTAATACGAATTTATTTGCTGTAGAAGTTTAATGCATAAAAGTGCACAAAGCATACATGTAAGTACAGTTCAGAACTGTTCAGGAACACGAAAGTATACATTACATGTAAGGTTAGCAGCACCTAATTATACCCAATGTGTACTTTAAATCGTGTACTATATGCATTTCGGCCACATCAGTTCTGAAATCAATTGCAGTATTTTATAGATCTGATAGTGACTTTAGTGTGCACTGCATGTACAGTCAGTTACTAAAAGATTGCAACACTTTTTAATTCGATGGTTTTTGGAACGCGCAAAAACAGAGCCGACCACTATCTCTGAACGCCTATAATCAGCGGTTATGATGGGTTATAACTGTCAGTGATGCAGAATCGTCTTGTAAACGGAAATGAAAAAAATTTGTGCGCAGCGGAAAATTCTTAAGATACCCTTCGGATATCATAAAATATATCGTGATAAGTAATAATAAAATAAATGCTAAATTCGTTTTATAAATTTATTTATATTTTGAAAAATAACATGTTTATTATTAAAAATTCAAAAATTAAAAGTATAACAATATAACATAATATTATTATTTAACTCAATAATAATACATGAATTTTACATACAATAATAATACACAAATTCGCTTTCACAACAAATTCAACGATCAATCGCTTCTCCGTCGGGACGATCAATTCCAATGAGCCTATGATATCAGGGTCAATGGAAGAACTTTACGCAGTCCTTCGCTTACACATCTTCCGCCAATGTCACGGGCTATTAGAAGCAATTTTCCTATACTTCTCAGGAAATAGAAAAATTAACTGAGTTTCATCTAAATTACGTATTAATATAATCATTTATTTCTTGATTATATTTGCTGATACTTTATATTTGAATTATGTATTTTTAATTTACAGTAATATTTTAAATAAATTACATATTTCTACCTGCAACGTCGATGAATAATAAGAGCAATGAACCTCGTTAATTCTTTACTGTCATTGCGTTTCTTTACTGTCGTTGATGTGTTCCGCCAATGCCTCGCGGTTATGTCGAAAATGAGAGTTCTATTCTTGAGAGTTCTGTTCTTGAACACACACCCCAAAGATTTTTAATCACATTCATATCTAGGGATTTGGCTAGCCAATTCAACATCTTAAGGTTGGGTTGTGCATCCAATCAATCCTGAACCACTCTTGCCCGATGTACTCCTAAATTATCCTAAACGAAAGGAACACAAAGTATATCAGAAAATGTCTCCTGAACGTATGGCATTATCACATTGGATAAAATGTGAACGTATTCCTCGCCGTTCATGCACGGTGTGTACGAACCAACGGCCCAAAACCGTATGACGACAGTCCCAAAATTCCGATGTGATGCGACCACTTTGTTTGCGGAAACAAACATTCTTTTCCGAATATCTAGTTCCTGTCGTTCTCCATAGTGTCACACGCCCATAGATTCATCCGTCGAAAATACCTTTTTATTCGAAAAGATAGTATTCATCCACTTTTGTTCCCATACTAAATGCTTTAAGGCAAAGACCATTCGTTGCTCTTTGTGGCGTTCTATTAATTTCTCACATTGAGCAGGTATATAATGTCCTTGTTCCCGCCACCTATGCCGCATGGTTGCTGCGCAACAATTTAAATTGCTGATCTTTCTCATTGTATGTACATCTTGGATGCCCTAGTATTAGCCGAGGATTTATATGGCCTTCTATTTCGAATTGCCGAACTAATCTATATATTGTGCTCCTCTGCAATATATTAATTATATTTCTTTAAATTTATGTTAGATACAATATCATCCAAACATATTAAAGGATATCTTACATTAACATTACATAATCTTGAAATTTCTTTATATGTTAATACAGTATTTGCATATGTCAATATTTCATTTCTAATATGCTGTGGAATAAGGCCAGGCATTTTAATGTTATTTATAATTGACTTATTTGCCAAATTAAATGACAGTAAATATCAAAAACAATTGAATTCAACAAATATAATTGAATTTAAGAGGGCGCACGCGCAGGTGAGTGGAAAACACATGTTTATATAAGCGCGGAGGTTTTGAGCGATTTTTTTTAGAGGGTACTGTAGAGGATCTTCCTTCGGGGTTTTTTACAGAAGACGCGAGTCTCTAAAATCGAGAGCTGGGCAAAAAAGCAGCTCGCAAATAAATCTGATGCGAGCTGAGAAGAGTATAAAAGGGAAGTAAGTGACCTAACCTCAATCCAACGAGCGGTAGGTGCCATTCGACGGCCGAAAGGCAGGAGGGCTGACTGTTCGGGGAGGGGGAGGGGAATACGAAGAAAATCTCTGTGGAACTGCTCTGCTCGCTAATCCTCGAATACCTTGGGCTTCCATGCAACGAACACCGGCTGTCATCCCGAAAATTTTCATCGTTGTTCGGAACAAGAGACGGCGATAGCGAGCACGTGCGAGAAACGCGGTCTTCTGCGCAAGTGCGAGAGGAAGTGAGAATCGTTCGGTGCTGTGCATTTAAACGTATGTTGCCGGGTAGGAGAGAGCAGTGAGAGAGAGAGAGAGAGAGAGAAAGAGAGAGCGCGCGACAGAACGAGAAAGAAGTAAAAACAGCGACAAAGACAATGATTGGAAAGGGTGGTGCGTGAGCGCGGACGGGAATGAGTGAGAGGAAGAAGGATAAAGTAGAGAAAGAAGAGACATTTATAGCACCGGTAGAAGTAGATAGTTGTAGAGGGAAGAGGTGGGTTGAAGGAGGAGACAAGTGGGGGGCCAGGTTCGGAAGAGGGAGACAGAGAGGAAGCGAAGCAAGAGAAAGTGACGGAGAGGAAGAAACCAAGGGGAAGACCAACGAAGGCAGAGAGTCTCGGGAAAAGTAGAAGGGACAGCGCGAACAGCATTGTATCGCTGTTGTCGAAAAGGGGAAGAACGAACGACTCCGGCAGCGGGGAGGAAGACGACAAGGGAATAACGCAAAGTGTGAAACGAGCGAAAGAAGGTGAGCCGAGCCAAGACGGTATGGGCGACGGCATAAACATGGAAAAGATCGAGAAAATGATGAATAAGCAGAGGGAGGATACGGTAAAAGAGATGACGTTGTTGCTGGCAAGACAAAGGGAAGAGATTGTAAAACAAATCAAAACAGAACTAATGGAAGAAGTGAGAAGAGAGGTAAAGAATGAGATGAAAAAAGAAATAGAAAAATTTAGAGAAGAAGAAAGAATTGCTCGGAAAATTTTGGAAAGCGAATTAGAGAAAATGCGAAAGATCATTCAAGACTCGGAGAGGAGAACGCAGGAGCAAGAGAGAAGAGAAAGGAGATTAAATATAGTAGTGAGGGGGAAAAAGTAGAAGGGGGAAGGGTTATGGATGCGGTGACGAAGGTTTTTGAGAAAATAGGGATAAAAGATAGGGGAATTAAAGTAAAAGATGTATTTAAACTCAGAAGTAGGGAGGATGATAGTTTAATTTTAGTGAAATTATATAGTATGGATGAGAAACGAATGATAATGGAAAAAAAGAATAAATTGAAAGGAACAACAATATATGTAGATGATGATTTGACAAAGAATGAAAGAGAAAGACAGAGTGCAATGAGAGTATGGGCAAAAAGTGAGAGAGAAAAAGGTATGAGTGTGAAAGTAGGGATCGGAAGAGCATGGATGAATGGTAGAGAATATGTATGGAATGAGGAGAGAAAATGTATGAATGAAAAGATTTTTTAAATAGAGCCTTCACAGTGAACGAAAATAGTATCAGCAAAACATGTAAAACAGAAGATAGAAAGAAAGGGAGGAATATGAAAGAAAAAATAGTGAGCGGGGTAACATGGAATGTGGCAGGGTTAAAAAGAAAAGAAGAGGATTTCTGGGAATTTCTAAAAGATTTTGATATAATTGGTCTGACAGAAACATGGGTAGATGGAAGGGAGTGGGAGAAATTAAAGGAGAAGATGCCAGAGGGGTGGAAGTGGAGATGTCAACCGGCAAGTAAAGAATGTAGGAAAGGGAGAGCGAAAGGGGGAATTATTACTGGAATGAGAGTGGAGTTGGAGGAGATAGACATTGGGTATGAAGAGAAAGAGGGGTTTCAAGAAAGGGCTATGAAGACGGATGGAGAAAAATGGAGAGTAGTAACAGTATATAATAGAGATGGAAATAAAAAAGTGTTGGACAATTTAAAGGAATGGATTAAAGAGGGGGAAGAAGAGATTTTGGTGTTGGCCGGGGATTTCAATGCAAGAGTAGGAAAAAACGGAGGGTGGGAGAATAAGGAAGAAGGAGAAGATGAAGAGAGGGAGTCAAAGGACGAAATTATAAACAAGCAAGGGAGAGACTTGATAGATTTAATAGAAGAAAGAGGGTGGATATTGCTAAATGGGGGGAAATATGGGGATGAGGAGGGAGAATGGACATACGAAAAGGCGGGTAAGAAGTCAGTAATTGACTATGGAATAGTGAATTGGGAGGGATGGCAAAGAGTGGCCAAGTTTGAAGTAGGATGCAGGGTGGAATCAGACCATCAGCCGCTGATATTTGAAATCAAGAACCAGTATGCAAGGCAAGAAGAGAAAGGGGAAGAAGAGGGAAGAGTGCAAGATTGGTCGGAAGAGGGAGTAAGAGAGTACAGGAAGAGGATGGAAGAAGTGGAATGGAAAGAGGAAGACAAAGAGGTAAATGAGGAGTGGGAAGAGATAGAAAGAGAAATAACGAAGGCGGTGAAAGTCAGGAGAAAAGGGAAGAGGAGAGGAATAGGGTGGTGCCCTTGGTGGGATATATATAAAGAATGTAAGGAGAAAAAGAGAGAGCTGAATAGAGCGAGAAGAAAATACAGAAAAGAAAGGGAAGAGGGATACCAAGAATATGTGAGGTGTAGAAGAGAGTATAGAAGTCTGTATGAGAAAAAAGAAGAGGAATATAAGAAAAGAGAAGAAAAAGAGATAGAAAATATAAAGACAGAAGCAGAGGCATGGAATTTTATAAACAGAGGTAGGAAAAAGAAGGAGGGAGTGTGTAAAGAAATTGAAATGCGGGAATGGGAAAAACATTTTAAAGAGGCATTGGGAGGAGTAGAGGAAAAGAAGGAAATTACACAGAGAAAGAAGAGGAGTAAAAAGGGAGAAGAGGGGATAAATCAAGAAGAGGTAAATATGGAGATAAAGAGGTTAAAAAAGGGAAAGGCAGCAGGATTAGATGGAATTAGAAACGAGGCATGGAAAGAAGGTGGAGAGAAGATTAGTATTAAGGTGGGTAGAGTAATAAAAAGAGTGTGGGAGGGGGACGGCTTTCCTGAGAAATGGAGAGTGGGGGTGGTGGTACCAATCTGGAAGAGAGGAGACAGGAAGGAAACAGCAAACCATAGAGGAGTGACACTTACAAGTACCGGATATAAAATGTATGCAAATATATTGAATAAGAGATTGGTGAAAGATTTGGATGAAAAAGGTGGATGGAGTAGATCACAAGCGGGGTTTAGAAAGGGAAGAGGAACAGTGGAGAATATAAAAATATTGAAGCATGTGATAGGAAAAGGGATGAAGAAGAAAGAAAGAGTATACGCTTTGTTTGTGGACCTAAAGGCGGCCTTTGATAGGTTAGATAGGAAAATTTTGTGGGAAATGATGAGAAAACGGAAGATAAATGAAGACCTGATACAGAGAGTAGAAGAAATATACGAGGAGACGCGGTGTGTAGTAAAAATAGGAGAGGAAGTATCGAAAGAATTTTGGGTAGAGAAAGGTGTGAGACAAGGGTGCCCCTTGAGCCCGACCTTATTTAATATATATTTGGCGGACATAGAGGAAGAATTGAAGAAAGGAAGGGGAGGAGTTAAAATAGGGAATGATAGAGTTTGGTCGATCGAATATGCGGACGATATCGTGTTGGTAGCAGATGGGGAGGACGGTCTAAGAGACATGATTAGAAGATTCAAAAAATACCTGGAAGAGAAAAAATTAGAAATAAGCACTGAAAAATCAAAGGTCATGGTGTTTAAGAATAAAGGAGGAAGGGAAAAAGAGAGATTTTGGTGGTGGGGAAAGGACAGATTAGAAGAAGTTAAAAAATATAAGTACCTGGGATACATGATGACAAGGAATGGGGAAGATAAGGAGCACATTAGGGAGAGGATAAGAAAGGCAAGAGTGGCAATGGGTTGGATTTGGAGTTACGGAGAGAGGAAATTTAAGGGGGATGTGAGATGGAGGCTAAAGCTGTTTGACAGCGTAGTTAAAGGGATTTTATACTATGGGGTGGAAATATGGGGTTATAAAGAGTGGAAAGAAATTGAAGCCGTACAGGATAAGTACTTGAAATGGGTATTAGGACTGGAAAGGACAACACCAGGTTATATCGTTAGGGAGGAATTAAAAAGAAATAAACTTAGAGTGGAGACAGGCTGGCGGGCAGGGAGATGGGAAGAAAGGATAGAGAAAGGAGAAGGAGGAGAGATTGGGAAATTGTGTATGATGGAGAGGAGAAAGGAGGAAAGGAAAAGCGAATGGATAGATTGGACAAGAGAGAGTGTAGAGAGAAGGGATTATTTATGGAGAGGAGGCGTCAGTGAGATAAGTCTAAATGAATATGGGGAGAACAAATGGGACAGGGTAAGAGAGAGGGATATCGAGGTGGATGAGCAAGAGAGAGGGGAAAAGGTAAAAAAATCAAGAACGTGTAAGAACTATGAAAGAGTCAATGGTATACCAGAGTACATCCGAAGGTGTGGAAGGAAAAAAGGGAAGAAGATGGTACAAATAGCAAGATGGAGATGTGGGAATGAAGAGAGAGGAAATAAGTATTGGATGAAAGAAGAGGATAGGAAATGCAGATTGTGTGATATGGAAAGAGAAGACATTGAGCATCTGAAGAAAAACTGTGAGTACGTAAATGAAAAAGGCGGAAGAAATTTAGAGGTACTAAACGAGGATGGACGGGGGTATGAATGGATGAGGAAAATAGAACGTTTAAGGGAGGAGAAAGATAGAAAGATAGGGAGAGAAAGAGAAAATAAATGAAAATGGTCAGCTGGGAGGCTATGGGAGTGTATGGGTGTGGGTGGGAGGGTGTGGATGAGAGGGTCTGGGCAAGTATATGTGCGTGTGTGCAAGGGTGTGGGTGTGGCGTAATATATATTATACGTATGTATATATATATGTGTGTATGTATGTATGTGTGAGAATGAGAGAGAGAGAGAGAGAAATACAAAATGCGAAGAAAAGGCAAAACGAAAGAGAGGAGAGAAGATAAGGAGAGGAATGAAATAGAAATTAAGAATTTAAGAAAGTGTAAAATTTTGGAAGTTTTTTGTAATCACTTATGTGAAGGCAAATAAATAAATACTATATATATATAATTGAATTTAATTGAATAATATAAAAATATAGTGAAATATTGCAGTATACAACTACTGGACATATACAGAAATTTCAAAATTATGTAATGTTAATGTAAGATATCCTTTAATGTGTTTGTGTGATATTGTATCTAACATAAATTTAAAAAAATATATTTGATATATTGCAAAGTAGCACAATATACAGATTAGTCCGGCAATTCAAAACAGAAAGCCATATAAATCCTTGGCGGTTCAAATATATAAATCCTAGGATGTCCACAAGACGCATAATGATCAGCAATTATTAAACACATTTCAGTTTAAGAATACGGAGTTCTGTTCAGTTATTATTATTGAGTTAAATAATAATATTATGTTATAATATTACTTTAATCTCTCTCTCTCTCTCTCTCTCTCTCTCTCTCTCTCAATATAATAATTTTTGAATTTTTAATAATAATAAACAAGTTTATTACAGTTTTTTAAGATTTGGGAGAATTTGGGGGGATTATTTGTTTCAGATTGATTGTGTGAATCCGATAATTTCATCGGCTCTCAATTTATTTCTGAAATATTAATTCAATTTAATTGAATGTATATTAGATAGTAGTTCAACATCTTAACACTCGGACCGGGAAGGCGCTTTGTATTTAAAGTCTTAATATTTATATAGACGGTCTTGTTTTCAATTATAATAATAAACATGTTATTTTTAAAAATATAATAAATAATATAAATAAATTTATAAAACGAATTTAGCGTTTATTATTACTATGATATATTTTATGGTATCCGAAGGGTAGCTTAAGAATTTTTCGTTGCGCACAAATACATTTTTTTCATTTCACCGTGTACAAGACGATTCTGCATCACTTTGACAGTTATCATAACTCATCATAACCGTTGACTATAGACGTTTAGAGATGGTCCGTTCTGTCAGAATTTTTGCGCATTCCGAAAATCGAATTAAAAAGTACAGATTACAACTTTTTAGTAACTGACTGTACACTGATAGTACATACAGGTATGTAACTTCCGCTTTTGCCTCAATTTGGCGGACCAATCACCAATCGTTATCCCATTGGCTGTACGCTTATTATAGGTATTCTAACCCGGGATGCGTTCCAAAACTTAATTCTGTCAACTCCGAGTATCTTTATTCAACATTCGGTGACCAACAAGGATAAAATGATACTCGAGTTGACAGAGTTAAATTTTGGAACGCAACTCCGATGAGGAATCTGAATTCAGCCTAGTGTAGACATCTGTGATCTACAGTTTACATTACGTATACTGTAGATTTTCAGCAAATTTTGGAATATAAGCTTTTGTATGATTAAGCGAAGAGCACAAACTCTTGCGTAACACATAAAACGTGAGGAATAAGAAAATCAACCAATCAGAATCCTTTATTTCACGGAAAGGAAGGAAATAAAGGACTCTGATTGGTTCATTTTCTTATGCTTCATGTATTATGCATTATGCAAGAGTCTGTGCCACTGAACTATATATACACTGGAATAGGCATCGAGAAAAATTCGTGGCCACAATTGATCAGTCGCCATTTTAGTTGGGACGATATCTGAACGAATCAGAAGCATTCGCGCGCGTGCTGCAATCGATGTATCGATCGATGTACTATCGATGTATGGAAATCTACAAGGTGCATCACCAAAATCCGGACAAATCGAACAATTTCTTTAAACAAAATGTTCTTAATGAAAAATTAAATCTTGAAATACGAAGCGCCTTACTGGTCCGAGTGTTAAGATGTTGAACTACTACGTAGGCTGTTGGAAAAGTTTCTGCAATCTAGTATTTCCAGTGACGCCAACGTTCTGCTACTATCATATCCATAAAATTAGACGTTTTTAACCTATAATTCAATTAACAGTTTGTACCTAAGCCAACTAGTTTTGTTTGCATAGTATTTTAAAAGAAGTTATTTTGTAAAAAAATGAAAATTTTCGGGCAATGATTTTTTACGATTACAAATGTAATCTAACTCCGAAACAAGCATCGATCGACTTCATTTGGCTTTTGGGAATGAAGCACCATCCAATAAGACTGTTTATAATTGGTTTGCCGAATTCCAGCGTGGACGTACCTTTCTTAGTGATGAATTCCGTGAAGGTCGTCCATACACGTCTATTGTTGCCACTAATGTTGATGCTGTGCGTGAAATGATTGAGCGAGACTGGCATATAACATACCGCGAGATTCAGGCATCCTTAGGCATTGACATGAAAGCAATACATACGATTTTGCATGATCACTTGAGCGTACGGAAACTTTGCAGTCGTTGGATCCCAATTCGACCGAAGCTCAAAAACAGGCTCGTGTTAAATGGAGCAAAGAAATGCTCAAGAAATTCAACCGAGGTCGGTCAAATTTGGTATACAACATCGTTACTGGGGACGAAACATGGATCTATTCGTATGAGAAAGTAAACAACAATCCACTGTTTGGGTATTTCAAAATGAACGGAAACCAACAAAAGCTGTTCGTTCACGCAGTGCTGCCAAGCAAATGATTGCTTGTTTCTTCGGTTATACCGGACAACCGTGGCTTTAGAGGATCGAAGGACTGTAAATACTGATGGGTATACAACAATTTGTTTGCCAGAAGACATAAATGAATTACGTAGAACAAACCGAAATCGTCGCATCATCCTTCGTCGTGACAACACCAGCTGTCACACAGCACGTCAAACCGTTGATTTTTTATCCAGTAATAATGTCGAATTGATGACTCATTGTCCGTATTCACCTGATTTATCACCTAATGACTTCTTTTTCTTCCCAAACATTAAAAATAAGATGCGTGGTGAGCGATTTGAATCGCCTGAAGCAGCTGTTGAAACATTTTGTACACTTATTTCTGAAGTTACAGCCTTAGAGTGGAAAAAATGCTTCGAAAATTAGTTCGAACGTATACAAAAATATATCGATCTTAAAGGCGAATACTTCGAAAAACAATAAAGACAATTTCCGAATTTTACATGTTTTTTTTTTCATATTGTTTGCAGAAACTTTTCCAGCAGCCCCTACGTATATAATATATATTTATTTAAATTGAATTAATTTTCAGAAATAAATTGCGAGTCGATGAAATTATCGGATTCGCACAATCAATCTGAAACAAATAATCCCCCCAAAATTTCCCAAATCTTAAAAAACTGTAATAAACTTAAACTGTAATAAACTTTGCGAAAAATATTGCCTCGGCCGGGAGTCGAACCCGGATCTCTTGCATTCCGTGCGAGATCCTAAGCCTTTAGACTACCGATTGTGTGAATCCGATAATTTCATCGGCTCGCAATTTATTTCTAAAAATTAATTCAATTTAAATAAATGTATATTATATAGTAGTTCGACATCTTAACACTCGGACCGGTAAGGCGCTTCGTATTTCAAGTTTTAATATAAACGGTCTCGTTTCGAATCATATTAAAAAAATTAAATATTATAATCATATAAAAAAATCCTTTTACATAGCACTTGGGGGATCCCTATAAAGCACAATTATTCGATATATCCCCTATTAGCTTGAATGACGGCTTCTATTCTCGGTCTGAAGCGTTGGCACGTATACTATAATGTAGCGCTGTTTATGCCAACGAATGCTGCCTCAATAGCGGTCCTTAATGACGTCACATTGAGATGCCGAGATTTGTTTGTGACCCTTTCAACTACGCTCCATACATAGTAATCCAAGGGATTAAATCTGAGCTGTTGGGAGGCCAGAATTCTTTGGACCAAAACATATCGATATTATCTGAGAGCCAATTTTGAATCAAATGCACTCGTATGAGCCGGTGCACCGTCTTGCTGAAAAACATATGGCCTTCCAAACGTCATAGTTTCTATCCACGGTTTCATTACATCCATTAAAACGCGCAAATACACTTCTTTTGTGACAGTTTCCTCGTTTTTAAAGAAATGTGATGATATGACATCACTCTCACTGGACACAACACCTAGCACGTGAACATTGGCCGGAAATTTCGTATATCTGGCATACTGGAATCTTCGTTAGACTGTTTTAAAGCCGTATATTTTGGCACAACGTCATAAACGGTTGATCTCGAGTATCCAAAGAACCGAATTATTTCCGTTGCTGAATGCCCAGCGCAAAGGCCTTCGATGATCGCGGCTCTTCGATTACTTCGCACTTGGTTTCAACATCGTGGCCATTTTGAGGATATGACTGTTTACTAGAAGCATCAGGCTTTCTCGGACGTCAACAACAATCTCTAGAAGAAGCATAATATAGCGGAAAATTTAAATTTAAATTTGTCCGAATTTTGATGACGCATCCTATATATGGACATGAATGGTACATAAACAAAATTAAAGTCACTTCAATTTTATTAGTACATTTAATAAAATAACATTAATAACACTTTTCATACCCTACATCGTTAACACATGTGCAGGAATTGATATATTTAATACAAAAATATTTAATACAAAAATTCTTACCTATGAAATGAAATGCCCTTTTTACTTCTCTGTCCACATCCAGGCACACAACACTTCATGTTGATGTTTTGCACATTTTGCAGTCGCGATTTTATAGTCTTTCAAAGTAATCTTTCAAGTATAACCCCACACACACACGCGCGCGCGCGCGCGCGCACACACACACACACACACACACACACACACACACAAAATGATCTTGCTGACATATCCGTCTCACCACCGACGAGATACTATTAAAGACCGTCAACTCTGAGCAAATTTTTGGCTGTATAAAAAGAGCCCCAAAGGCCCGGAGATAATTGAAGAATGCCGACATTATCGACAATTGATATAAATTTGCTATTATTAACATAAATATTTTGCTCATACATTATGAAATTCATTTTTTATTACATAAATGTTTCATAAATAAATATGCATATTTGTAAAGCTATAATATCCTATATATTGCAGAAAAATTACAATTTTTTCGCTGCATCTCGATTGCTAATCAAACTTTGACAATAACACTGAAATTATAATTTTAAAGAAAAATCGAGTATTATTGAGTCTTAAATGCATAAATACTAGGTTGAGTAAAAAGTCATCGCGTATTTTTTAGCTCAAAGTTGTATATACAATATCTTCGTCAATAATGAATGAAATTCAAATTTAAAAAAAGGGTTTTAAAGTTTGAAATCTCTATTTTTAAAAGCTTATCACATGTTTTAAGTTTACATGAATTTGATAATTTTTACATACCAAAAACTACGAGCTGAAAAAGACGAAAAATTTTCTTCTCACTTTGTGGATTTGTAACGTGTCCAAAACGAATTTGAGAAAATTTTCGATTACCTATCGTGAAAGCTTGATACTTTCCCTACAAAATCGTTTTTTTTAAATATTCCTACGACTTTTGATTACTGAGTTATCGCGGATTAAATAAAAGAATTATTTTGACTTTAATTGCTCATAACTCCATTAAAAATTGTCGTATCGTATAATTTAAAAAAGAGATTTTTAAAGCTGAAACTTTACTCTATTAAGATATATTTATATTGTTGGTAAGAAAATAATTGCGGTTTTTACTGATAGATGTCTTTTAAAAAAACGCGATGACTTTTTACTTAACCTAATATATCTACTAAACTAATGAATCATAAAATTAGTATACAAATTAGTATATAATATTATCAGTTTTTAACTCTTAATTACTTCAATATTCATAAGGACGCGAACTCCCGTAAGGATGTCGGTCTTTAATAGTATCTCGTCGGTGGTCTCACTAAAGAACACAAAGGTAAGTGCGTGTGAGCACCTGAAAGCTTCTAATTCGCTCTTATATTGACCAAATTAAAATGGCGCTGATCAATTAATGCCACGATTTTCTATGCTTCATAGCGGAGATGCCCACTCCAGTGTATATATAGTAGTTCAGTAGTCTGTGCTCCCCGCTTTAGTAGGTTTAATATGGCGAACTTTTGCGCTACTTTTATTAATATAGATTTTTAGCCGCGAGTGGCCGCCACTCGCGAGCAATCTGATTATAGTACAACGAAGTACTGGACAGTATCGGATTATGTCCATGCTTACGTCGATCAATATTGATCTCCGACGCTCGTCTTGCTAGACTCCATGCACATTTGAAGGGGACGATCGATCGCATTAACAAACTTGACCAAAGTTGCTTGGTCGTAGACAGATTACACACCACACAGGCTTGCGCCTGGGTGATTGCCAAAGCGCTGTGATCTCGTGACTCATCCCGAACATATATACATACGTCCATACATCCAACGCGTGATATGTCGCGCCTACTTCATTAAAGTGGATATGATCAACGTGATGCTACAAATGCTTTGAAGCAATTTTTGATTGGTCAATTTGTAAAATTTTTTTTTTCTAATTGGTCGACCAAACGCTTTAAAACATTTGTAGTGAGACTTTGACCGCAGCTAGTATCACACATTTAGGAAAATTCGCAAATAAAAAGTTTGTCGAGTAAAGACGGATAGAGACGTGTGTTCGTGTGTATCCCATTGTGTACTATATCGTGCGCGCACGTAAAGAATAGAAGTCTGATGTGACACGCACGATAGGCAAATATCCGTAAGCAGCTGTCGCTCTCGCTATCGTCGCAGCCAGGGCCAGCACACGTTTGTATGCAAACGTCGAGCTGTGAGCGAGGCGCTTCGGAACACTGCTCGGACCTCTTTTGTATGGTAAGCGGATATTAGGTTAGAATCCACCAACTACCATTAACCTCCGTTAACCTCGCGCTTGCGGCAATCGACAAGTATTATTGTTGTTTCGTTATCGGTTTCGTCATTGATTGCTAGCTATCAACCGATCGCGATCTTATTGATGCTCTCGTGAGCAGGAAGTGCATCTTCGTTTCTTCTTGGAGTTCGAGACGACCTCGTTCTCGTCTCTAGGTTTCGCTTGGTCATTCTGGTCAGGTGACGCTTGATGGACAACTCTTGAGGTTAAATTGTCTCAGCGCAGATGACCTTTCTCTTCTTCGCAGCTTCTCACTCTGTCGCGCTCCTTTCCTGCAGTCTCTCTGAACTCGAGAAGGAAATTTCGCTATTGTCGTTTTTATTGCGACTAGGTACCAATGAAGTTCTATTAAAACTAAGTATTAAAATTCTATACACACAAACTAACAATAACATTACTTCAATATTATAATTAATTAACATTCAACGATATAAATATGATACAATATTTGTAAGCATGATATTTTGACTCTTTAAATTAAGAAATCTAAAGAGCTGTTGAGAAAAAGAAGAACATTGTTCTTACATAATAGTTGTATTATTGAATAGGAAATTACAACATTAATATTATATTATTATTATTTGATATTTACTATATAGGTACATTGTCAGGAAATTATAACATTGATATAATGTTATGTTAATTTGGGTTCAGTGGAACAACTACAATTCGAGAGCCACTTGAATTATGTAGAAATCCAAAAGGTAAACATACTTGTGTCATGATAGCTAGTAGTCGGTTCTTATATTTAAGACTGGCTTAAGTACAGTGTTAAGATGTCAATTCAATGTTTTATAAGGAATCAGTTGTATTCTTATCAATCCTTGCTAGTATTCATAGTCGGTACTTATTTTCAAGATCTCTTAAGGGATTTTATGTAATATTTTAAGATACTAATCCTTAATATACACTTTTTGGGTCATTCCATTTGTGTCCTGTGCATTTCTTTTCTTTGAAATACTAAGAGCATCTGGTCAAATAATGGTCTCTTCTATTTCTAAAAAAAAGTTTGGCGTCTAGAAAACCAGTTTTGTGCATTGTCAGCTTCAATTTGTGAGTATCCTTTAACTAGAATAATTTTGAAGTTCATCTCTGGATCACAAATAATCATCGTGTGTACAGAGGCTGTGTTCCAAAATTCATTGCCAGTGCTGAAAATGTATAGTATACGTAACGTAAACTGTAGATTTTCAGTACTGGCAGTGAATTTTGGAACACAGCCAGAGTGTACACTTTTTGTTACTAAAAAAAATTTGTTTTTTCTTTATTACTAATTCTCTTTATATTGCAGGAATATTTCGCGAATTATTAAACAAAGAATTTAACCCTCGAACATATTAGCCCTTAATAAACACAATAGTTTTTGGCACTCTTGTGTTAAATGTCTGTAATGATATAAGTTATAAAGAACATTTTTCTAATAAATCATAATAGTTTTTTAACACTAGCAGTAATAAAATGCATTGTTTAAAACGTGAATGCAATATATCCTCAATTTTTATTATAATCGTTCATGCATATTAAAAAGACATTATTTTCAGGTTATTAAATAATTAAATTTTTTGACAGTCGGCATTTGAACTATTTTTTTCTTTTATAGGTTGAAATGTCAACTTTAAGATATTGTGTGAAACATATTTTTCCTTCAAACATTTTTTTGTTTTACATTTTTGTATAAAAGAGTGCATTTTTCTCGTTTTGTTAACTATATTTAGTTAACAAATTTAGTGTAATAATTTATATACAATTTGTTATAAATATATAACTTTATAAATACAAATCTAAAGATGTCAAAATATACATAAAAATTGCTTAATAATTTTTGTATACTTGTAAAAGTGATGAAAATTAATCCAGAACATGAAAGACCCATCTTGATAATAAGAGTGCCAAAAATTAAGGTGTGTATAAGGTTAATGATTAGTTTAGCTTAAAACTATACTTAATTCTTTGGAGCTGGCGTGATCAGTGTTAGACCTTTCTCGGTTATAGTATTTTTTATCTTAACATTACTTCATAGAGAATTATTTTTGCTCATCAGAATTTTGTTAGCCAAATAATCATTGAATAATCAGAATAGTAAACTACCAATTTCCAGAGTCGGTAGTCTATCATATCATGATCCATTGCTAACGTCAACATTTTGTGAACTTTGTCGTTTTCTTCATCAGGATGAGGAAGCACTGATACTGATGTACATATCAATACACTTCTCGTCCTGATGAAAAATGAACGGCAAGATTCACAAAACGTTGGTATTAGCAATGAATCACGACACGGCAGTAATCCGCAAACCCTTTGGCACATACAAAGAAAATAGAATTTTAAATTGTTAGAAAGTGGCTAAGAATTTCACAAAGGTTAAATAATAAAGAGCATACAGCCACGACTAAGGATGTAAATAAGTTATATATTATTTAAAAACAATTTCATAACAATAAGTATTAAATAAGTAATAAAGACAATTTCATAACAATAAGTAATAAAGACGTTTCGGTCAAGATTTGACACTCTTCAGTACAATAAAATTGAATACGTTAAACATTAAAACTAAATACACAAGTCAACTGATAAATGTAGTGATAGCTAGTAACAAAAATTATTATTTCCTTATGATACAGTATTAATCGCAATCGATCGAAGTAGATTAAAGTAACAGTTAATTGTTGTCGCGCTATATGAATAGAAAGAAATTAATTACAAAAGTTTTTTTCCTTCATAATACAATTAAGAATTCTTCATTTTAAAAACGACGAGCCCCACACGAAGAGACACGCAAGTACCAAGTTCTATTGTAAAAACAAAAATTTTTTCAACAAGTAAATTAGTTATCGTCGTATTTTTGTAAAAAAACAATCAGATTAAGCAATATGCTCCTGTTTAGATTCAACCCCGAGAGTCATTTAAAAAAAATTCTTTATTCTTTTGAAAAACCAACTGAACAAACTTACGTGTATCCTGGGGTGCGAAGACTCCTTTGTATAACTGAACACTGTGACAATTTTAGGTAAAGAGTGAATTTAAACCGCAATAATGCCAAAAGCCAAAAAATGCTGGTCTATTATATTAGGAAAAAGGAAAAAGGAAGGGTAAGAAAAGGCAAAGGAAGGGAAAGAGTTTAGAGGGCTGGAAACTATTGTTCAAGGAGAGGGAGATAAAGATCTGGAAACCGTTCCGTATGACTTTTTTTATTTAAACCATTTTTTTGCATCTTAATATAAATCATTTCAGATACTAATCTTTTATAATGAGAGAGCGTTCCGAATCTAATATTTTAGCGTTCTCCCATCTATCGCGTGGTCCGTGTCAAATTTGTGATTTGAGATGACTGAGTGAGAATTAACTGGTTTTTTCAAATAATTAATATATTCTTTTAAACGCGTCTTTAATTTCCTTTTCGTCTGAGCAACGTACGAATAATCGCATCCTTACAATTAATTTGGTATTCGAAAGTTCATCTTTTTTTATTTTATCTTTCCCCGTTTTTAATTTCCGTTTTGTTTCCCGTTTAATTTCCCGTTTGTAATTAATTTCTTTCTATTCATATAGCGCGACAACAATTAACTGTTACTTTAATCTACTTCGATCGATTGCGATTAATACTGTATCATAAGGAAATAATAATTTTTGTTACTAGCTATCACTACATTTATCAGTTGACTTGTGTATTTAGTTTTAATGTTTAACGTATTCAATTTTATTGTACTGAAGAGTGTCAAATCTTGACCGAAACATCTACTTATTGTTATGAAATTGTTTTTAAATAATATATGACTTATTTACATCCTTTTTATTTACATCCTTTTTATTTACATCCTTATTTACATCCTTAGTCGTGGCTGTATGCTCTTTATTATTTAATCTTTGTAAAGTAGAATTTTTTGACATTTTTATGTAAATTGATAATTGCACAAATCTTTTGGCACATTTGAAGAAAGTACCCGTGAAAGCCCTAAAAGTATTATCAATTTTTTTTGTGTTATATTGGGTCGTCCGGAAAGGTCCGTGCGGAAAATACGCACGAACTTTCCGGACGATCCAATATCTACAAATTTGAATTATTCTTATTAAAAATAAACTTATTCTGTTTTATATATTTATTCTTTTTTGTTTAAATTGTCATTTTGAAATTAATTAAAGATTTTTAATCAACATGTATTAAATATGAATAGTTTTTACGGATCCAATTGCCAGTAATTGTTACAGATTTTGACGTTAGCTCCAAAGGATTAAGATGTTTTGCTTAAAAATCAATTATAAATTCCATTCCTTAATGCTATATCATGCAAAGCTGCAATAATGTAATTGTACTCGATAACTTTGGTTTATGTTTTTCATAATAGACACTTATTGCAAGGATATGAGAGAAGAGGAATGAACTTGCATTTATATCATTTGAGCGTATATGTTTACGTATCTCATTCTGTATTATTTTGACTGTATAGCGACATACCATTTCAAATCTATCATACAATACTTGATTTTTATCATATTTAATATGAATAGTAGTCATAATAGCATTTTTTTAACATCATGAACATTTCTTAAAGATATTCTCCAGTGGAGAGTAATAAAAGATATGTTTATTTCTTTTTTTTATGTTTCATAAGGTGCATACATTCTAAGAAAACATGCCTCTGTTTGGAAAGTCTCAAAAGAGTCCAGCAGAAGTTGTAAAGGCCCTCAAGGAGGCGGTAAATGCATTGGAGCGCGGCGACAAGAAGGTAGAGAAGGTATGTTGTTGCGGATACACATTGGTTTCTACGATGAAATACATCCCCTTTTAGGCGCAAGAAGATGTAAGCAAGAATCTAGTGCACATCAAAAACATGTTGTACGGTACGGCCGAGACAGAGCCACAGGCAGACATCGTGGTGGCACAGCTGGCGCAAGAATTGTATAACAGCAATCTACTACTTCTGCTTGTGCAAAATTTAAGTCGCATTGACTTTGAGGTACGCTGTCAATATACGTGAAATAGATCCAAACAATCGAATATTTTTTGTGGCAGATAGAAAGCTGTATGTATGCGAAATTGCTACTAAATGTTAGAATATTTATTACAGCGCGGCATTAAAGTGCTCACCCAAAGTGTAATAGAAACTCTAATTTTTAAATAATATTTAATATTATTCAAGTTGTTTTAAGACACATCCCATATTTACTATAATAATAACGTAACTCAGAAATTATTGAAAATTATTGAATTAAAAAACTAAACATAAAAAAAGTAAAGATCTATTTTAAAATATATATTTTTACAATCTTCCACAGTTATTACATGAAAATTGGAATTTAAAATTAATATTACAAAATTTTTATGATTCAAAAATTCAAATTTTGTTTTTAGAGTCGAGTTATAGCAAATTAGCGACATTAACTAATATTTAAATAATATTTAATAAAATAATTTACAGTTTTGTGTCCGTTTATTTAAATTGTTAGCGCAAGTCATTAATGATTGTTATGAATTTAATCTTTCTGTTTCTAATTAAGGGAAAGAAGGATGTCGCACAGGTCTTCAATAACATTTTGCGGAGGCAAATTGGAACTAGATCACCCACCGTAGAATACATATGTACCAAACCTGAAATTCTTTTTACACTCATGTCTGGGTAAGTTTCTTTTTTTCTTTATGCTATGTGTCAATAGAATGATAAAAATATGTTACTATTATTGAATTGCATTTTTGTCTTGCAGTTATGAACACCAAGACATTGCACTCAACTGTGGCACAATGTTACGAGAGTGCGCAAGATATGAAGCCCTGGCCAAAATTATGATCTATTCAGATGACTTTTATAATTTTTTCAGATATGTTGAAGTTTCTACGTTCGATATCGCATCTGACGCTTTCTCTACGTTTAAAGTACGTTATGTTCTACAACGTGAACAAGAAGCATGTGATATTTTCCTTTGTTTATTTACATTTATTATTCACAATTTATTTTGTTCTTTTACTAAAAATATTTAAATATTTATAAAAATCATTTTAGTCACTATATATGTATTAATATTATGTTGTTTAATGTAATTAAATAATTTATAATTTTGTCCAGGAATTACTCACGAGGCACAAAATACTCAGCGCCGAATTTTTAGAGATACATTACGATAAAGTTTTTTCACACTATCAGAGGTTACTCAATTCAGAAAACTATGTAACACGACGACAGAGTTTAAAACTGTTGGGCGAGCTATTACTCGATAGACACAATTTTACAGTAAGTATCTAGCTTTGTCTT